TTAATCCTTAACCTGATGTTAACCAATCAGCTTTTATTGTTGTCTTTGTCCCCAATTTACAGGGAAAGTAACTTTGAAATGACCAATGTGCTTTTGCTCTGTTTCTGCTTTCTTCAGTTCCTCTCTGTCTACAAAGCAAACCTCTTTGCTCAGCTCATTGAAACACTTATTCTGTTTTATGGAATAAAGTGTTGCCCAATTCTAGAATTGCAATAAAAAGATCTTTAAACTAAATTTGTTGCAACTTTGTCCTTTGACAATTCAAAACAGTTCTGGAAAAGAGTAGAATAATATGTTGTTTCAGTGATGTATTTTTCTCCCAACAAAAATAAATAAAATATTTCTAATGAAGCCTTTTGAGATACAAATTTCAAATAGGTGGTTGCTATTTAATTTCTGTGGCTCCTCTTAATAAAGCATGAAACCAGTGATCCCTCCTGGTGAGACCTTTCTAAATAAATACCTAAATATGAGAAACCTAAAGCCAGTCTACATTCAGAGTTGGCCAAAGCAGGGAAAATAGCTTTTTGACATTTTCTCTCTGAGCACTTTCTCTCCACTTAATATTAAGCAGGAGGTGTTTAAATTATTCGGTGGATGGGGACTCCTTTTCTCTTGACGTCGATGGTTGGCTGGGAGGTCTACTCTCAAATTCTGCTTCAGCAGAGCAGTTAGAAGCTGTTAACAGAATCCTTAAGTGTAGTCGGGGATGCTAAATAAGTGATTATAATGACAGTAAATCATTTCCTTTGTTCCTGAATGCTCTAACATTTCTCCTAAGAAGAGAGTAACTTCATAAACTGTCTGGTGGGAACATTACCTAAAAATTCCATTTAGGACGAAGGAGACTAGAAATTTCTGTCATTAAAGTTAAATAACCTTGCCTTCTTTACTCATAACAATGTAAGCAGTGCATTTCTAATTGTATTTTTTGAAAGATTTAACGATAGCAAACCACTTTGTGTTCATCAATCTGATTCTCTTCAGTAGTCCTAGATTTCTGAAGGGGTCTCACTTTACACTATTTTGCAACACAGAAC